TTATCCCATTCCTAAACAAACTAAAAACCCCAACCAAGCATACTGCAACAAAGAGAGAGCCTTTTTACTGCTGTTTATTTTTATTTTGTATTCGTTAGCTTTTTAGATATTCCTGGCATGCAAGTCGAGCTCCATGTAACAAGCAGCTGCATTTAGTTAAGGATTTTCGAAGCAGTCTCCCCTTCCCCCCTCAACTATGGAGAGCTTTCTCAGACTCCTAAAAGACTATTCCTTTCTCCTCCTGTGTCCAGAAACTGATCTCTCCTGTCACAATCCAGGGAATCAGTGAAGCCAGGCCCAGAATATACTGTTTGAGAAAGAACCTGAAAGATTTGAGCATTTTCCAGCTGGAGCTGGGTCTCCCAGGATCTATTCCTTAGTGGGACCCTGCCTGAGCTGGCAATTGCCACTCTTTCTAAAGCGCACTCCAATAAATCAGCCCTCCTTAGCCTGCACCCCTGGTTATGCACCAAGATGCAAGTGCACACACACTCCATCAAACGGCATCTCATCACTAGGAGGAAGGAACTACCAGACACACTCCTCAAACCGCATCAAAGTCATAGTTCATGGCAAAAATGCAATTGTTTTAAGACCTCCAGAGGCCATGGTCTCTCCCGGCACTTCCAGTCTATCTGTCTCCAAGTTAGCAGTAAGGTTGGCTGGGCAGTGCTATATCAAAGGAAAACTGGAATTAACTATCTTCCATCCCTTCTTATACCCTCTAGATGATGGTAAAGAAAAAATATCCCTCTACATCACCATCAGTCCACATATAGGAAGAAGGTAAGAATTAAACCAGGAAAACTTACATAGGACAGAGGACAGTTAAGATAAGAGGACAGTTGGGTTTATAAGCCCAAGAAAGTCACCCTCTGGCCATGAGACCTTGAGAAAGTAACTTAACATTTCCACGCCTAACTGGCCCAGCTTGTACAATGAGCTAGCTAGCTATGCCATCTCCTTCACTGTGTTATTGCTAGAACTCAGTGAAACATTTCCACGCCTAACTGGCCCAGCTAGCTAGCTATGCCATCTCCTTCACTGTGTTATTGCTAGAACTCAGTGAGTTCATACTAATATCAGCTCAAAGCAGTGACTAATTCATTAAAATGTTTACACCAAGTATCTGCTCAATAAATTGCACAAACAGGATTATCTCAGAATGCTTGAATTCAGAGAGATGTATGTATGCTTAGTTGAGGTCACAAAGACCTTGTACCATTCATCAGCTTCTCCCAGATCCAATTACCACCCCATCTGGCAAGAGCGAACCTGGGAAGGCAGAGGGAGGGAAAGGCTCCACGGTGTGGCTGACCTAGGCTGAGGCCAAGAACTGACCACAAACACTCCACTCCCGTCAGCCTCCACTGGCAGAAAACTCACTGCCAAAGCATCACTCACCGCAAGCCATTGTGCCCTCTCTTTGTAGGGTTTGCAGTGTCCTTGGAAGATCTGCTTATAGTATAAACCTATGACTAGCCAAATGCACATGAAATTTTCTATATTATTTTTGGAGGAAAAAGATTCTGACTTTCGTGTATTAGCTACCTCTAGATGGGGGGGGGGCTCTTCTCTACTACTTGATATGCATGGTTTTATTGAAATCTCATAAAACTCTTATAAGGCTGAAAAAGTTTAATTACCAACCCATCACATGAAGGAAAAGAGACCTGGCAAACCCAGGTCTGCCAAATGCCAAAGTCTGGGTTGTAGCCACTAAGATCTACTATCAGGTTCCTCTTATTACTTTTCTTCCTATCAGAAGGTGTGGAAAGGAAAAGGGAAATTCTCAACAACAACAAAATAAAATGCTGGACTGCATTTTTACTAAGCAAAGGAAATAACTACATTTTTGCATACAACCCAAAAGGCAGTTTACTATTCACTCAGCAAAACTCTGTGGAGCCCTTGCTATATTTGCATGGGCAAATCTTCCATTTGTCTGCAGATATGCATTTATATCAATGTATATAGGACTTAAAAGTACTGGTTCTCCACAGGATGCAGTGTAACTTTTTATAGTACTTAAAGTGATACAGGTGCTTGTTGTCAAACCATGGCCAAAACCTCATGTTCCTTTGGATGCAAATGGCATGTCATTTTAAAAGTCTCATTTGGAGCCTATTTCTACCATGTGGGAGACAGAAAATATAATAGAAAAAGACTGAGTTTAGAAAGAACTCCTGGTCTGGGGAGATGACTCAGTAAAAAAAAAAAAAAAGCCTGTCATACAAGCACGAGCTCCCCAGTTCATATCCCCAGCAAGGCATGTGTCTGTAAGCCCAGGCAAAGAAAAGAGGATCCCTAGAGCTCACTGAATGGTCAGGCTAGCTGGATAGATGAGCTCCAGAGTGAATGAAAGACATTGTCTCAAAAAATAAGGTGGAGCGTGATCAAGGAAGACACTCAACATCGACCTCTGGCCTCCACACACACATCGACATTGTACATGTGTACATATATGACACGGACTCACAAAATTAAAATTAAAAATAAAATAAAAGGACTCCTAGCTAAATATCAGGCATCAGAGGCATAAAACAGCCTACTATATTATAAAGTAAACCCTGCCAACCAGGTATGGTGGCACACATCTTTAATCCCATAGGTAGATCTCTGGGTTCAAACCAGCCTGGTCTACAAAGCAAGTCCCAAGTGAGTCAGGACTACAGAGGAAGATCCTATCTCAAAAAAACAAAGTAAACCCTGCCAGAGGCAGTTTGACCAAACCGTTTCCTGGCTCCCCCTAAGCAGCCAGGTAGGATTTTTTCAGGCCCACTACTTGGGCCCTCAATGTATTCACCAGCAAAGCCTTATAGGCTCATAGCACTCGAAGACCGCTATTCTAAATGCAGTCAGGACAGACTTTTACTAGTATAGTAGTTGGAGACTTACAAAATAACAGCAAACAAGCACAAACCACAGAATGGGCAGGATTCTGAGAGGAGCTCAGGTAGGCTCCAAAGGTCTGGAGCTCTAGGAGCAGTAACAAGTGCTTCAGCTACCCACAAGTAGACTTTGGGCAAGTAGGAAACAGCTGAAGAGGTCAACCAAGAGCAGACCAGACAGAACACATTTAAAGGCTTTCTCCTTCCTTGTCAAATAGGAAAGTGACAGAAGAAATACTAAGCAGTTCTTTTACAGTGTAGTAAATAAAATATATTTCCTTTTAAGTCAATTTCCTGAGCCACTGACAGGGTTACCTTAGGAACTTCAGGAAAGAAGTTTAAAAGATGGTGAGACAGTAATAATAGCTTTGAACCATTATTAGAAATATAGGATATGCAATATAGTTTTTGAACGCCTATAAACAGAGGACACAGTATTTGGGTAGCTGTTGCTAATACTATTATTTTACACTCCCAAATTCATTGTATGGGCCTTTATTTAAAGGC